TTCTCTTGTAACATTGAAAATCTGAGTCAATTAAAAGTACAGCTTGTATAAAGATTAAATAATTTTTTTTTGCTAATCCTCACTCGTAGATACTTTTCCCCTTTGCTTTTGAGACAGAGTGGAAGGGAGGGAGGGATGGGGATAGGGAGAGGAAGAGGGAGAGAGAGAGAGATGTCAATGATGAGAATCATGGATCGGCTGCCTCCTGCACACCCGCTACTGGCGATCAAGCCCGAAACCCAGGCATGCCCTGACTGGGAATCGAACTGTGACCTCCTGGTTCATATGTCGATGCTCAACCACTGAGCCAGTCAGGCCGGCTTAGGTCTATTTTATAGAACAGAACTTAAGAATCAAAGCAATTTATCAGTTTATCCAAGAAAATCCAGGTTTTCTGATTTAAATATCAGTTACCTTTTCCTATACTGTAATTGCCTCTTTTATTTTATTTAGCTCACAAAAAGGAAAAAAATTAATTATACTGTGGCTTATTTTATCCTTAGAGACATTTTAAATCCAAAGGATGTGATCAGTGCCCAATTTGAAAATACGACCAGTAGTAAAGATTTTTGCAGCCAGTCATGTTTATCAACATATGAACTGAAAAGAAAACCTGTTGTTACCATAAATACGAATAGCATTTCAACCAAATGCAGCATGTGTCAGAAGAATGCTGTTGTAAGTTATCTTTTTATTTTATTGGGGCGAGGGGTCTAATGCTTGTGCTTAAAGAAAAGTTTTGATGGTCTCTGCTTATTGTTTGTATTTTGTTATTTCTTAATTCCTAGATTCGACATGAAGTTAATTACCAAAATGTGGTACATAAACTTTGCAGTGATGCCTGCTTCTCTAAGTTTCGCTCTGCTAACAACCTCACCATGAACTGTTGTGAGAACTGTGGGGGTTACTGTTACAGTGGCTCTGGACAATGCCACATGCTTCAGATAGAGGGACAGTCTAAGAAGTTTTGTAGCTCAACGTGTGTTACAGCATATAAGCAGGTATATGCCCATATTTAATCCTGATGACTTTGTTTATTTTAGGGGTATTTAAATTTTTTGGTGGAATTTATTTATGAAAATGTCACAAAAATATTAAGATATTATTACCTTAATTAGTATTTTTACATGTTAGTAGTAGTTGTCAAATGAATGCCTGTTAAAAACTTTATAACAAGAGTTTTATAAGTAGTATATATTTCTTTCTTTTGGTTAATCTTTACCCAAGGGTATCTTTTCCATTGATTTTTTTTTTTTTAGAGTCGAAGGCAGGAGAGAGAAAGAAAGAAAAACTTCAGTGTGAGAGAGAAACATCAGTTGGCTGCCTCCCACATGTACTCCAACTTGGGAACCAAGTCAGGGATCGAACCTACAATTCCTTGACTGGGAATTTATCCTAGTCCCTTTGGTGTGTAGGCCAGTGCTCTAACCACTGAACTGCCAGTCAGAGAAGTGGTATATATTTCTGTTCATGCATTTGAAATACATGTTTTTAGGTATGACTTTTATTTCACATATGATTCGTGTTTTTGAAGAATATTTTGAAAATGCAGAAGAATGCAAAGAAGAAAAATAATGCACCATCTATTTGGTGTTAACCTTCTGTTTTTTTAAATATAGTTTGCTTTACATACACACACACACACACACACATATTTTACTTTCTAGGGTAATGTTCAAGTTGTATATATATTCTTGAATTCAGATCCTTATGGTTGAAATTGCAATTCAGAAAATAAGAACTTACCACTAATTGTTTAAGGGTTTTTTTCTTCTCTTCATGAAATAAGAAAAAATAAATGTGGGTTATATATTATTTTGTGAATTAAGGGTTGTAGAGAATGAATTGGATGAATTCTAGTATGACAAATGTCTAATGCAATTTTGTACACGATTTATATTTTGTTAGTAAATTTTGATCAAAAATTAGATTTTAAAATTATAAGCACAAAAGAATAGTACAAACTTTTTATATTTAAAATTTTACAATGGCTTTCTGTTTCAGTGCATTTGCTGATCATTTGTTTTCTTAGGAAAGTGAATTTTTATACAGTCAACTAAAATTTGTAAATTTAGTGTTGATTGGGAACTTTATTTAAATTGTTTTTTTAATATATATCTATATATCTATATATATCTATATCTATATCTATATGTATATTTTTCTTGATTTCTGAGAGGAAGAGAGAGATAAAAACATCAATGATGAGAGAGAACTACCGTTTGGCTGCCTCCTGCATGCCCCGCACAGTGAATTGAGCCCGCAACACAGGCATGTTCCCTTACTGGAAATCAGACCATATGAAGAAGTAGAAGAAGATGGAGAAGGAGATGATTATGTTGAGGAAAAAGATGATGATGAAAATGAAGTTGAAGATGAAGATGAAGAGGGAGAAGACAGAGGAGAAGAAGATGATGTCGATGAAGGAGAAGGAGATTTTTAAATTGGTTTTAGAGAGGGGAAGGAAGAGGGAGAGAGAGATAGAAACATAAATCTGCTGCTTCCTACAAGGCCTCAACCGGAGCTGGAGCCCATGACCTAGGCGTATGCCTCTGAGTGGGAATCGAGCTGGCGACCTCCTGGTGCATGGGATAAGGCTTAACCAACTGAGCCACACTGACCAGGCTTAAATTGTTCTTAAAACTTTATAATGGCCCTAGCCGGTTTGGCTCAGTGGGTAGAGCATCGGCCTGTGAACTGAAAGTTTCCAGGTTTGATTCTGGTCAAGGGCACATGCCCAGGTTGTAAGCTTGATCCCCAGTGGGGGACTTGCAGGAGGCAGCCAATCAATGATTCTCTCTCATCATGGATGTTTCTATCTCTCTTTCTTCCCTCCTCTCTGAAATCAATAAAAAAATATATTAATAAAAAAATAGTAGCTGTATTCTTATAAAACAAAACAAAAACTTTATGATTCTGAAATTTTAAACATTATACAGTGTTCCCATTTATTTCTGATTAATATACAAACATATTAAAAGGGGTTAGCTTCCTGCCCTAGCTAGTTTGGCTCAGTGGATAGAGTGTTGCCTGAGGACTGAAGAGTCCCGGGTTTGATTCGGTCAAAGGCATGTACCTCGGGTGCAGTCTCCTGGCCCTGTCCGGGGTGTGTGGGAGGTAACCAATTGGTGTGTCTCTCTCAGTTCGGTGTTTCTCTTTATCTCCTTCTCTCCCTTCCACTCTCTTTATACAATGGAAAAAGTATCCTTCGGTGAGGATTTAAAAAAAAGAGGGTGGGGCGGGGTTAGCTTCCTTTAGGAAATCTTGTTTCTGCTCTCATGGGGGGAAAAACCCCAACAGTATTTTCATGTGTTTTATCTTTGTTCAAATGTTTTTCTGTATCAAGTAATAAAAGTTGCTTGGATTCAGTCAATTGAAAGATGCTGGTCAGGGCAAGTGCCTGGGTGGCATGCTTGATTCTTTGGTTCCACAATAGAAGGAACAATTGGTTGAAACATTTTAATTTTAAATAATTTATTTATTTTTTTAAAAAAGGTATTTTATTGATTTCTTACAGAGAGGGGGGAGAGGGATAGAAAGTTAGAAACATCGATGAGAGAGAAACCTCGATCAGCTGCCTCCTGCACACCCCCTACTGGGGATGTGCCTGCAACTGAGGTACATACCCTTGACCAGAATCGAATCTGGGACCTTTCTGTCCGCAGGCCGACGTTCTATCCACTGAGCCAAACCGGTTATAGGGCTAAATTATTTCATTATAATTTAGCCAATATCTGTTAAAATTTTGACATATTAATATGTACTTTGGTGTAGAGAAAGAACTTGGATTTAGAAGTAAAGCAGGTCTTAGTTTGATTCCCAGACATTATATTCAAATAGAGTTTTACGTTGGGAAAAGCAATTAAACTGATTGAATCCATTTTCTTGTCTGTAAATGGGTAGTAAAATACCTATGTCACTGAGATATTTTTAGGGTACATATGAAGTAAGAATGAGATAGCACCTAGTATAGAACCTGACACATTTTATAAAATGCAAACACAGAACCTCAGAAATATGTGTGTACTGGGCCTCTATGTAAAATTTATTTCTTACTGAGGATTGTAATTATAAAAGTTTGAAAGCCACTGATTTAAAATATTTTAACAGTGTTAAGTATAAACATTTCAAAGAATTATGCTTTTACTTGTAATTGGGTAAAATGAATGTTATTTTATTCTCTTAATAGAAATCAGCCAAAATTACACCATGTTCGCTTTGCAAATCATTGAGATCCTCAGCAGAAATGATTGAAAATACCAATAGTTTGGGAAAGACAGAGCTTTTCTGTTCTGTTAATTGCTTATCTGCTTACAGAGTTAAAATGGTTACTTCTGCAGGTAATATTGGTTTTGTAAACTATATAATCATTGGAAAAGTTATAGTTATTGCTTTGTTTATATAGTACAGGTTTTTGTTCAAATTTGGTTGTCTTTTAAGGCCAATTTAAAATATTTCAGTTTTGTGTTATAAAATATCACCTATTACCTGATTGCTTTTTTATGTTTGTTTATTGGCTTGTTTATTAGTGCATTTGTCCTTTGCAAAAGAATTTCATGTGGCTTCTTTATTGTATTTTCTTTTCCACACCTGATTTATTTCAGGATTTGTTTATCTTATAGTTTCCAGATAGACTGACAACTTTAAAAGAAATATTTTTGATGTTAAGTTAGTTTTTATCTGTATGTGCTGTGATTAACTTTAGTTTCAGTTCCTGCACCTTGACCTGGCTCTTGAATTTTTATATCTTATGCAATATTTACTTATTTTCTCATACATTTTTGCGCAGGCCGACACACACACACACACACACACACACACACACATATATATATACATACATACATACATATATATATTACTCATTAGTTTTATTTTTATTTGCTAAGGTGTACAAGTGCAGTGTAACAGTTGTAAGACTTCAGCAATCCCTCAGTATCACCTAGCCATGTCAGATGGAAGTATACGCAACTTCTGCAGCTACAGTTGTGTGGTAGCTTTCCAGGTATGGCTTCAGGAACCTTTCTCTTCTCCAGTGAGTGAGTTGCCTACAACTATATAGTAATGTGAACTTATTATGTGTTTTCTAGTGCCTGGATTGCCTAAATTTCTACTATTTAAGTCCTATTAAACTTGCATTCTTGGTTCATCCTATCCTGTATTTGGAGGCATGTCATTTAACTGTGTTCTGTAAAATTAATGGTATTATTATCTCCTAGATTATCTTATGGGAATATATTATTTTTGAATTATTTTATTTTTGTTTATAAGTGACACCCCCCCCCTTTCAAGTATAAGCTGCTCACAGGCAGGAATTTTTGCCTATTGCCAAATGTATTTTAGGTGCTTAGAACTATGCTTGGTAAACTTAGATAGTCAGTACTACATTGTTTGAACAAACTATGAGATTGCTCTTGTTTTTTCTCTTTTTTCTAGAATTTGTTTAACAAACCAACAGGAGTAAATTCTTCAGTAGTGCCCTTGTCTCAGGGCCAAGTAATTGTAAGCATCCCCAGAGGTTCAACAGTGTCAGCGGGAGGAGGTAACACCTCTGCTGTTTCTCCCACCTCCATCAATAGCTCTGCTGCAGCTGGTCTCCAGCGTCTTGCTGCCCAGTCTCAACATGTTGGGTTTGCACGAAATGTTGTAAAACTTAAGTGTCAGCACTGCACCCGTCTTTTTGGCACAAAACCAGAACTTCTTGACTATAAGGTAAAGTGTAGGATCATGATAAAGGTTTTGAATATAAACTGATCTATCTGTAAAATTGTTTTTGGCTTTTTATTTCTCAAAGTTGTGCTATTTGTTTTTTGTAAATAAGAGGGATAAGGATTTCTATAAGATAAACATTTAATTAGTACTTGATTATTTATTTGCAGGGTAAAATGTTTCAGTTCTGTGGCAAGAATTGTTCTGATGAATATAAAAAAATAAATCATGTAATGGCAATGTGTGAATATTGTAAAATTGAGAAAATTTTAAAGGAGACTGTGAGATTCTCAGGTGCTGACAAGTCATTCTGTAGTGAAGGTAAAGACAGAAAATTATCTTACCTACTATGCATGTTGGTTCTTTTAATAGTAGTTGATGATTTAAGCTGTTACTGTGTGGGTTATTTTATCCTCTGTGTATAACACCAAACCCTTTTCTTTCGTTTATGCTTGTTTCATTTTTTTTTCTGATCAAATTCTTCATATCATTTAAATGTTAAAATGAAGGAAACGATCCTCCAAGTATATAGCAGAAGATGATAATGTGACAAACATTTTTCGATATTAGGTTGATAGGGTTTTTTCAGTTCTGGTGCTTCTAAAGGGAACTCCTTAAATTTGGTAGCATCCTAAGATTATACTTTATTGTTCTAAATAGCCATTATATTTATGAACATAAATAATCTGAATTTGCAAATCAGTATGAGATAGACTTTCTTCTTTTTTTTTTTTTAAATATATTTTATTGATTTTTACAGAGAGGAAGCGAGAGAGAGATAGAGAGTTAGAAACATCGACGAGAGAGAAACATCGATCAGCTGCCTCCTGCACACCTCCCTCTGGGGATATGCCCGCAACCCAGGTACATGCCCTTGACCGGAATCGAACCCGGGACCCCTCCGTCCACAGGCCGTCGCTCCATCCACTGAGCCAAACCGGTTTCAGCTAGACTTTCTTCTTTATTTAAATGACTATCTTAAATGTTTAGAATGTTTTGTGTTATTCTAAAACTGTACAGGATTAGCCTACTAGATTAGTGGATTCCAAACCTTTTGACCACAACATACATACACACAAAAATACATTTTACGCTGTGATATCACATACCCAAATAAAACAAAAGTTTCATTAAACAAATTGACGTTTAGCTCAGCCGGTGTGGCTCAGTGGCTGGGTGTCGACCTGTGCACCAAGAGGTTGCCTTTGTGATTCCTGGTCAGGGCAAGTGCCTGCGTGGCACGCTTGATCCCCATTGTGGAGAGTGCTGGAGAAAGCCAATCAGTGTTGATGTGTCTCTCTCATTGATGTTTCTCTCTCTGCCTCTTCCTTCCTCTTTCTAGTACCAATAAAAAATATTTTAAAAAATTGACTTTTACTATATGAGATGCACTATAATATATTTTTTAATGTTTTTATTTTATTTTATTGATTTCAGAGAGGAAGGGATAGGGAGAGGGAGATAGAAAAAGCAATGATGAATCATTGATCAGCTACCTCCTACACGCCCCACACTGAAGATTGAGCCTGCAACCCAGGCATGTGCCCTGACCAGGAATTGAAGTGTGTTACCTCCTGATTCATAGGTCAATGCTCAACTACTGAGCCACACCGGCCGGGCACTATAATATTTTTTAAATGATAGTATTGGTCCTGTATATTGACCTCTTTATCTAATTGGTGAAGACCTAGGTGTGGTATCTTTACTATGGGGCATTTAAATTAAAGATGGAGATACTTAATATTTCTGCCTAATTTTAATTTCATCTTCCCTGATTTTTTTTAGGTTGCAAATTGCTTTATAAACATGACTTGGCCAAGCTCTGGGGAAATCACTGTAAAATGTGCAGTTATTGTTTACAGACATCTCCCAAATTGGTGCAGAGTAATTTGGGGGGGAAAGTGGAAGAGTTCTGTTGTGAAGAATGTATGTCCAAATATACAGTTCTGTTTTACCAGGTAAGTATAATTCACATATATGGGTTTTTCAAATTAGGGCATACATTATTCCCTTATTTTATTTGTTGACCAAGTATGAAGGAAATTTTAAGTATTTAAACTTTTAAAATTAAATGTATTATGTTCTTTAGCATTAAATTAAGATTTTGGAAGACTTTAATGTCAGTGAAGTTATATTTCTTTTGTTTGTAATTTCCATGGAGAAGACCTAACAGTCTTATGACATTAAATACTTAAAATTAAAATTTTATTCATTTATCATTTAACTAAAATGATTTTGTTTTCTGAAGTCTTTGAGGAAGATAGATCTTATTTCACTATGTTTTTTAATTACAATTTATTTGCATCTCTATAATATGACTTTTTAACGCTTAGTATAAAATCATTGATAGATAAATATTTACCACTTTAGGATAATTAAACTTCATTTTTTTACTTAAATTCTAAGTTATTTTTCTCACTTGTTACATTTATTCTGTCAGACCACAGCTAATTTATTTCTTACTCTTTTACCATCTTTTGTTTCTTTTTCAGATGGCCAAATGTGATGGTTGTAAGCGACAGGGTAAACTCAGCGAGTCCTTGAAATGGCGGGGAGAAATGAAACATTTCTGTAACCTGCTTTGTATCTTGATGTTCTGTAATCAGCAAAGTATATGTGACCCACCTTCACAAAACAATGCAGGTAAAACTAAACTTTAGTCTTTCACTGGTGTAGGGGACTAACTACGTCTACAGATTGGAACATTAAATAATTGTCAGTAATTTCATGAAACATAAATTTCATTCTATTCACATGATGTTAACATTTAGATAATTTTTTGTTTAACCCTTGAGATTAAAGCCCAGTAAAAATGATTTATTTATTTATTTTTTTACTTTTCTCTAAACATAATGAATCAAATAAACTTTTCAGAACTTCATGGGAAAGAATGGCAATTGATGTATTATAATTGGGTATGTATACCTTGACTTCCTTAAAAAAGGATTTGAGACTATAAAAAGAAGATACAGTCTAAATCAAATGGCCTCTTAAATGTATCATCTGCATAGTTATGCAAAATACAATACACAGAATAATAAGTTTCACTAATTAAAAAATTAAAAAACAACTTGTTAGTCCTGAGGTGATTCTGCTTCAATAGAATTTACTCTAACTTAAAAGCATTGTTTTACCTCCTTGAGATGTTGGTTTTTATGTATGTGCATATAAATTACATTAAGTTTTAAAATTGTTTTTATTTTAATCAGCAAGTATTTCCATGGTGTCAGCTGCTTCAGCAGGGCCCCCATCGTTAAGAAAAGACTCAACTCCAGTTATAGCTAATGTAGTGTCATTAGCAAGTGCTCCTGCTGCTCAGCCCACAGTCAATTCTAACAGCGTTTTACAAGGTATGACCTAATTTGAAAGCATTGATCTAGCCCAGTGGCCGGCAAACTGTGGCCCCTTGAGTATGGCTCTTCCACAAAATACCATGTGTGGGTGCTCACGAACAGTGCAATTGAAACTTCGTGGCCACACTCAAGGGGCCAAAGAGCCATATGTGGCTCGTGAGCCGCAGTTTGCTGACCACTGAGCTAGCCTTTTTGAGGTGAATATAGTGGTTCTCTATCTTTTTGCCATCAGTAGTCATTATCATACTAGAGGCCCGGTGCACGAATTCCTGCATGGCTGGGTCTGGCCGGCCAGCCCCCATTGGGGTTAGGGGGCTGATTGGGAATGGGGCCAACGGTGGGGAGTGGCCGCGGGCAGTTGGCGGGCTGGCCCTGCCCTCTGGTCGAACACCCAGTCTAGGGGATAATTTGCATATTAGCCTTTTATTATATTGGATGTTAGATGTATTCATATTAGGAATGGTGGCTCACTGTGGGCTGGTAGGCATTAGTGTTTTTCATGATTTGCAGATATTTTTTTCTCATATTATACTTTAGATGCTAGTCTTTCCATGAATTAAACTAAGATAGTGCATATTTTTATTATGAGAGACTTTGTGTTTATCCTATATAATATAAGCATAGTATGAAAATTATGTCCAGGGGTTTGACCAGGGGACGGGGCCAGTTGGAGAAAGGGAGGGAGGCCCCGGCTGGCAGCTGGCAGCTTCTAGGGGCCCTATCAGTGCACAAATTTTGTGCACTGGGCCTCTAGTTGTCTGATAATCAGCTTTTAATGTTAATGTTTAATTGTGTAAGATCCTAAATATATATTTTAATTTATGTCAGGTGCAGTTCCAACAGTAACAGCGAAAATCATTGGAGATGTAAGTTTTATTTTTATTGGTATTGCCACTGTATTTATTTTCCATTTTGATGTCGGATAAATATGTCTAAACTACTTTGCCCTTTATTATTATTTATTTATTATATAAAATAAATTTTGTGAGCTCATTTAACATTTGTTCAGGAATAGGATTTTTGTTTACTTAATTATGTATTTTATACACTTTAATTTCTTTTTATGTTTGCTGTCTTTGTAATTACTGAAGTTTTTTATTATTGTTCTACAGACTTAAAGTTAATTATATAGAAGTTAGGCATAAAAGGTTTTGGGAGCATTGGTAATGTAGTCAGATTGTAAATAAGATGTCTATAAAATGTAGTTTTGTTTTCTACCCAGTGTAGAGTATGTGGTAAACAAGCATTACTTTTTTTTTTAAACTCAATATTTTTTGCTTTTCTCTTAAAATAGGAAAAAATAATGAGAAAATCTTATACTGAAACAGTGGCATTTCTTAAGTGTTTTCCTGGTCTCTGGGATACCATTGGTATCATCTTATTTTCAAGTCTCTGAAGTGATCATAAGTGATTCTGTTATTTCTAGTTATCTTGAAACTAAGGCTTCTAAGATTTAGTCAAGAAAAATAGTTTTCATTTTAAACTCTACCAGCTTTGTGCTTAATTAACAATGGCTTACAATAATAGAAATAGCATTTTTCTTGGTAAACAGAATTGGTAAATAGATATATTTGGAATCAATATGTAGTTATTAAAATACTGCTATATTGCTATTTCAAGAATGCGTGTTGGGTTTTCCAAGTAATTCTAATATAATATTCCTTTAGAAATTATAATCTTTTTTTGTAATTAAAAGTAAGCTTTTGAAAACGCCTTTAGTTTCTTTGATTAATTTTTTATTTCTTTTGATTATGTTTTTAACTAGGCAAGTACACAAACAGATGCCCTGAAACTGCCACCTTCCCAGCCTCCAAGACTTTTGAAGAATAAAGCTTTATTGTGCAAACCCATCACACAGACTAAAGCCACCTCATGCAAACCACATACCCAAAACAAAGAATGCCAGACAGGTATATTTCTTATACTTTCTTCATTTAATTTTTTTAAGGGAAAGGAATGTGGGGTCTGCCTCTATTAATTGAGTGCCTGCTATTTCCTAGGTAATATATTTAGTTGCTAATATACATTGTTCAATTTAAGTCTTACAGCATCCTTGTGAATTAGGTATTTTCACCATCTGAGACTTAAGTTATGACAGAGAGAAAGTAATTAATTGATTATACCATACTGTGAACATTTCATTTAATTTCCTTAATATCATGGAGTAAGTATAGACTTTGGAATTATATAGATAGGATCTTAATTAAGAGTAACTATTGTTTTCCCCTTAGGCTTAAACTTTTTTCATACTCTCTTTCAAATAACACCAATTTCTTTGAGGAGAGCTTCAGGGCTTCTTTCCTTATGAACTACCTTTCTTCCCGCTGCACCCCCTTCCCCAGAATAACCTCTGAGCTACTTCTAGCCTCTGATCTTCTCAGCTTGCTTGTCCCAGCAGGGAATCTTTGCCCTATAAGTTATCTGGAGTGAGGATGATTGGACCCCACTATTCTTAGCCTGCCATTCCTGTAGTAGGACTTCTGTCTTGTGAGTGGGAGTTGGGTGGAGGAAGGAAATTAACCTCTTAAACTTGTAGTTGCAAGAGATGAGAAGTAATGGTGGCCTGCTCCTCCTGGTGAGATACAGTAATCCTTGATTGGGAGCTGCCTGAGAGAAGCCATTCTTCTGATTATATCCACACAGAATGCTGCTTCAGTCCGTTGAATGGGAATATGAAGCAGGTGGTGGGTCAACTGTTCTTACTGAATTTCAGTAGATTTTCCTACATAAATATTTCTCCATTTGCTGTATGCCCTAAGGACAGTTTCCAAATAATGTAAATGGTTGTTTTCAGCAGTTTTCACCAGTTTTGCTTGTTTCACTAGGGAATGGGTCTGTGGAGCTCCTCCTGTTGCCAAATGAAAGCCCCAGAATTTTTAAACTGGAAAGGAATCCTATATTCCTAGATCTGGAAGATTATCCTGTAGGCCAGTGTTTCTCAAACATTAATATGCATATGAATTACTTTGGGATCGTATGTAGATTCTGATTCAGTGGGTCCTAAGGCTTTACATTTCTCACAAGCTCCTGTATAAAGTCAGTGCTACTGGTCCATGGACCACATTGCATAGCAGGCTGTAAGTGACTTAGTCTTATATTTTATATCAACTAGAGGCCCTATGCATGAAATTCGTGCATGCGGAGGGGTCCCCCTCAGCCCAGCCTGCACCCTCTCCAATCCGGGACCCCTTGGTGGATGTCTGACTGCTGGTTTAGGCCGTCAGACATCCCTCTCACAATCATGGACTGCTGGCTCCTAATAGCTCACCTGCCTAGTCGCCCCCAACTGCCCCACCACTCTGCCTGCCTGCCTGATGCCCCTAACTGTTTCCCTGCCTGCCTGATCACCTCTAAGCACCTCTGTCTGCCGGCCTGATCAACCCTAACTGCTCCCCTGCCAGCCGGATCGCCCCTAACTGCCCTCCACTGCCAGCCTGGTCACCACTAAC